GAGCTTAGTGAAGAGAAACTAGATCCAGCTACTAAGGTGGTATTATTCGACGAAGATGAACTGCAGACGCTGTGGAAAAGAGGGGTACAAAGTGACGAGGATTGGCGCCGTGCACGTGATTCTGTGCGCGACGGGGAGCGTGGATTTCCCCCAGACTTAGCGCAGAAGATGAAAGCTAATATTGGCGAGTGCACGGTAGCCGCGGATAATATTCTCCGGGGCCGAGAAAATAGGATCTGGGTGCCTGATTACGAGCCACTCCGAACAGCAATCATGCAACGTTCGCATGACAGCCATTTGGCTGGCCATCCAGGAAAAGATACCATGGTTGGCATAATATTACGACGATGGTTTTGGCCGAAAATTAGGGATTCAGTGCGAAAGTTTATCCGGAATTGTGATACCTGCGGGCGGACCACGGTGTGGCGAGAGGCGAAAGCTGGGTTTCTTCGGTCTTTACCAATACCCGATCGCATAGGTAGTGAGCTGACTATTGATTTCGTCACTGACCTGCCACAATCACGCGGCTGTACAAATGTCATGGTCATCACCGATCGCTTGAGTAAAGACGTTTTCATGTTCGGAACCGAATCAATGGACGCAAAACTGTGCGCTTCAACATTCATTGATAGATATTACCGGTACTATGGGTTCCCGAGGTTTCTGACTAGCGACCGGGGTAGTGATTGGGTTGGGCATTTCTGGGGTACTTTCTGCAAGCTAACTGGTATTTCACAGCGATTATCTACGGCCTATCACCCGCAGACCAATGCAAGCGAGCGAGCGAATCAAGAGATGTACAAGTACCTTCGAGTGTTTACGTGTTACGCTCAGAATAATTGGGTGGATCTCCTCCCACTGGCACAATTGGCGTTAAACTCGAGGCCAAACTCAGCAATTGGAGGGATGAGTCCATTCTTTTTACGACATGGTTACAATCTGGACCCAATATCTGAACCAGCCCCATCGACGGAAGAACTGTCAAAACACCCTGGACGCCGAGCGGCAGGTGAATACGTGCAGAGACTACGGGATGCCCAGGACTTTGCTCAAGCCGCAATGGCATCAGCGCAACAACGGAACGAGGAAAACGCGAATCAACATCGACGTCAGCCAGAACAGCTCAAGGTGGGCGATAAAGTGTGGCTAGACCTGCGGAACATTAAAACACCTCAACTATCAAAAAAGTTGGCCTGGGTTCATGCCAAATATGAAGTCACAGCAGTACCTGACCCACTGACGGTCGAATTGAACGTCCCTGGAAAGATACACAAGCGCTTCCATGTCGAATTAGTCAAGCGCGCAGGTAATGATCCACTGCCCAGCCAGGTTAGAGACGACGCCCAAAATCCACCATTGATCGATGACCTCGAAGGTCCAGAATATGAAGTGGAATCTATCCTACGAGCGCGATCTATCCGTCGCGGTAGAGGAAAATTTCGTCAGGCTTTGGTAAAGTGGACAGGCTGGGCCGAGCCAACTTGGGAGCCGATTGAAAGCATTAGGGAAACGCAAGCACTCGACAGGTTCGAGGCTACTTACGGTAATATAGAGATAAATAATGGTCCTGAAAACGATAGCTCTGGAGGATTCGTAGGCCCTGCAGAGGGTCATATATTGGATAAACGGCGTCAAAAACGCCATGGCAAAAACAAACAAAAACAATTTTTAAAAGATAAATAATAAAAAATTACAAGAACCTCCCAATCTATTTCCTAAAAAAATTTTGGAGGGGAGCTTGTGACGGCTTGTAAGCCGGTAATTGCCTGTAGCCTGCGCTGTCAAACGCAGGCTTAGCATGAAACTAGGCAGGGACTATTCTTGGAAGCAGGGTCTTATAACTTGGCAAACACCTCTAAGAATAGGGCACGAGAAGGGATACGAGATGGGATACGAGATGGGATACGAGATGGGATACGGATATACGGATAGAAAACTGTGTCATTGGCCTGGCTAATAATCATGTATAAAGTAACTGTTATTATCCTCTTCAATCTATAGTTCACCATAGATTGAAAATAAACTACCTCTGACCATAAGGTTGCTCAAGTGCCTATGCTTAGACTGTGACAGCAACAAAACCAGACTTGGTCTGGATAGAGTTCATGATTCGAGAGTCCAGAGGATGTTCCGACTTCTGCCAGAGGCTGAACTTCCTCCACTGCTCCGACCTCTGGTACCCCCCCAGCCGATTCCTTGTTGGAGAAGCAAGAAAGAGGCTGCCAAGTTCATAAGAGAGTGGCTAACTACACTCCCACCTAACTGTCTCTGCGTTTATAGTGATGGCTCTAGGGCTTCCGCCGATAGAGTGTCATGGGGCCTTGCGACCTTTATCAGTCGCACAGGCACGACAACCGAGCAAAACGGCTCAGGCGAAATAACGAATGCGGAGGTTTGCGACTCAGAAGTTCATGGAGCTTTGGCTGCTCTAGAAGCAATCACTGCCAGCAATCGAGATCGAGGACGCAGTGCCATCCATTTACTACTCGACAATTCTGCGGCTGTTCAGGCTTTACTGACGGGAACAACAGGCTCATCATCCTGGCGAATCTAAAAGTTCTTGAAAATGGCCGCAAGATCAGCCGCACCGATTAAAGTAGGATGGATCCCGGGCCACGAAGGGCTGGCAGGAAATGAAATCGCAGATGAACTCGCTCGAAGAGAGCTTAACTCGCCGGAAAACTCTAGGACGACACATGATGTGATGACCCTCGCCTCATCTGGACGGAAAGCCCGCGAACTGGCCAGGCAGATGTTGACGCACTGGTGGTACTCGAATCGCCCTGAACACTGCGCCAACCTCTAACTCGGGATGCGGCGCAAGAAGCCGCTCGAACCGAACTGTTACGGGATCTAGTGCACAAACTCCTACCGCTCACTGTGGGCGGCCCATGTATAATGCTGGTCTCGGGGTCCGCTTATTCATACCCCTGTAAAAATATCTTTCCTATCCGGCTGCTCTTATTTCACATTGTAGTTATTCTTGCGTTATCATTACTTTAGAAAATCAGAATAAACTTCGTATATTTCGTTCGATAGATTAGATCACGACCACATTCCGTGGCACGGACATGGGGACTTTGCAGCATATTATCGCCGCGTCAGCCACACTACCGCCATACTTCACTGCGAGTGTGAGAGGGAAAAATCAATCGGCCACCTTGTCCAGTGTCGGGAAGCACTGGAAAAATTGCGGCTTAAAAGCGGAAAGAGAAGGGCTCCAGCTCTGAAAACAATACTCGGATCAATTGGATGGCAGCTGTTCAGGGACTACGTCCAGGAGAGCGGAATATACGCAGAGGCTAGTCGGGGGATGCCAGGGATGCCTGTAACTCGGAAGTGATAGATCAAAGGCCTAGGTGGTTTGGCATGGACAGAGAGATTGGATTCGAGGCTCAGGCGCGTGGTGGCTGAGGCGGAACGATGGAAGGGAGATGGTTCAAGTTTTTCTTTTGTAATGCGGGATATCGCGTGGAAATTTTCGTTTGTTTTCATTCTGGGCTGCTGAACTTGTCATGATCCAACACATAGATGCGTTTTGGCATGGTTCCGGCCATTTAGGTGGGGGGAGGCACTTGTATACTATGGGTATCACAGACGCTGAGACCAACTGCATATTGAGAGCAGTACAATATGTTAAGAGACATTTCGCTTATAAGACTTTGCATATATTCACTGATAGCCAGGCTAGCATCCTTCGAGTTCAGCACAGCAATAACCAATTTTCCCACCAGATAAGGATGGCATCTCAAGAATCTTCTATTGATCTTCAATGGTGTCCTGGACATGTTGGAATACAAGGTGATGAGCTATCTAATAAATTAGCTAGAAATAGGAGTAAAAGACCAGAAATGAAAAGGGGTGAGTTTATAACTCACTCATTTATTAAATAAAAAGCGAAAAAACTAATACTGGAGGCATGGAATAATAATTGGAACCTGGAATTTTGGCATGAGGAGGAGAGTAGAAAAGCTGAGGGACTTGGCAAGTACTATAGGATCCAGGCTCAAACCAATCAACCCAGTATATCTTTCAAACCTTTCAAATTTCAAGGACATAGCGGGGAGACAGAGTCGGTATCCTTCCAGGCAAGGTTTGGAATCGGAAATACACGGGTCTATCTGCATATGATAGGAAAAGTCGAAGATAATATATGCAATTTTTGTAGAAAAGAAAGGCAGGATGTGCAGCACCTATTGTTATATTGTCCGAAATTTAGAGAAAAAAGGAACAGATGTTTTCGCAGCATAGAGCCAAGAACATTTCCAATACTATTTCGAACAAAGTTGGGAAAGGGAGCTCTTCTTAAATATTTGGACACATCCAAGTGCATGGTAGCACACAAAAGATATTAAAATAGGAAACACCGATTGGAAATTAATAGGTAATTGGGTAAATTATATTCAAGTTAGGAGTTTGGGGGATATAAATTATGTAAATAATGTGTAATAGCTAGATAGCTGAATACACTATGAATAAAAAATAAAAAAGGGGCACTTATACTTTACGGTAGTTAGCCTGATCCGGCCAGACCCCACTCGTGCTCAAGCTCCAGTAGGGGTGCGACGGGAGTCACTTTACCTAGCGCGTTAATGAACTAACTAGCAGGACGATGTACCACCACACCATCCAACCATGGCGGTGTTTATATTATCGCCTGCGCTCTCGCAGCCGAACTCTGGGCGCGCGCAAGGCTCAATTCGTAAAACTCTTGCCAAAATTCCACAATTCACGCCCATCGAAGTTATCTCCTTTCTATGCATCATATTGTGAACTTGTCCTGATCCCTCTCACCTCCATCCCAACGAACTGTCTCCCCGATTTGTGCGCCACGCTTTGGTTGTGCCGCAATTGTGAATGTGCTGAGAATAAGGACATTTTATACGCGCCCTCTAGCTGGTTTAAGCTATAGATTAGTAATCTACAATTGCTTACTCATTACAAGTGTACTTCTCTCAAGTCACCGGGGTTTGCGTGCGTGACGCGTACGATATACCATCATGAGATTCAAGACTTCGATCAAAAATATCCAAACGTTTTCCAGTACCTCTCCATGCATCCGCACACACATGAAATTACTAATTAGTCGAGTAGAACTTGCATCTTCGCTATCGCACTTGGGTAAGTTGGCATGGGTTCGATTGGATGAAGATGCCGTTCGCTTTACCGTTATTCCTGAGGTGGGGACACAGGTCTGGGCGTGAGTTCTTACTGGGATTCCAGAATAGAGATTTGCTGCTGAAGAAATGAAGATCCCTATCTATTGATTCAATTTTCGAGGAATATACCATCCAGTCAGCTGCCCCGAACAACACCATCAACCTAGAGCTTCCCCTTCTCCCCCTAACCCGCGCCCTCAAATCAGCCATCAACGCATCCTCAGCCTCCATCCGCCTCACTAAACGAAAAGGAATACCAGTTCTCTCTCTCACCATAATTACCCATATAGCTAGTGGTAGCAATGCCGCCAGTGGACTCTTCGACGAAAACAACGGCGACGATGGTCGGTCGCTTCGAGAAGAGAGTCTGGATACTATGATTCCACGTGATCGTGAAGCGATTGTCACGCAGGATATTCCCATCCGCGTCCTAACTGCCGAAAGTGTCGACGGAATTCATGAGCCTCGAGTGCGTGAGCCAGATGCGCATGTTATTCTGCCCTCACTCATTCAGCTAAAAGCCATATCAGATCGCTTTACTAAGCTTGCCATGTCGCCTAGCGCGGGACCTGGTAAAACTAGTTCTACCACTCCTGGGCCCAAACTCGAATTAGCTGCGAATATGCACGGCGGTCTGAGACTTAGCATATCCACCGATGCTCTAAGCATTTCAAGCGTTTGGACAGGCTTGACGAACCCAGAATTAGACCCGAGTCAGGTTGGTGATGGGGAGGAGAGCCTAGCTGATCACCCCAGCACTAGATTAAGAATGGCAGGACCAGAGGCTTGGTCGACGGTGCGGATTGACGGTCGAGACTGGGGCAAGGTACTGAGTGTTGGTCGACTCGGTGGGCGTGTGATAGCATGTAAGAATATCGCCAGTCCCCTTTCCTAGCGAGCGATTAACAACTCAAGGCTTTGCTAATGAACATGCCCTGATACTTTATGTCTATCTCTCCAATCATGAGGGCTTTGATGAGTCGGTTTTAACAGTAGGCTCTCATTCCCCCCCTAATTTATGCTCTCACACACAAGTAGTATTATATTTCGTCTTACAGTATGTAAGAATGGAACAGCAAAATTTATCCCTACCTCATCGGAGAATCACGAATGGTAACAAGACAAGGTGTAAATGCTTAGTGGTAATAATCACCTTAGCCTACACACTCCATCCCTCAAATCTGATCACTTTCCACAGATTAAGCTGTTGAACCGTAGGAGCAACGGCCCCGACGTTAAATTCAGTCTATTCTGAATGGTCAAAATTCTTTTTGCTGCAAGCGGCGAGATCACAAGCCTCATTCTAATGAACTTAACTTAATGTGGATTTTGCATGAAATGTTTGGCTTGAGAAGTCTGAATGCTACAGTTCGTGATTTAGTCTAGCTGGAGATCTCAATGGGGTAAGGGCGCCAAGAGCGTCTCTTGCATAACCTTGAGCCAAGCGATTAGGCGCCACAGCAACATACTTGTCGCAATACTCAGGTAGTATTTATATCACAACTCTCTACAGCATTAGTAACGATTGCGGTTAACATGTATCTTGATTCTTCCTCCTCCCCTTCGAAGTAAGACACACAAACAGTAACGCCCCCTTACTCCTAACCCCATTCCTAAACAGGTAACTCATTACTCATCAACATGATTAGTCATCATTTCTATGTTAATACATGTATGATCATTAAGTCATCAGTTCATTCGACGATACTAATCTGGGGCTGGTGAGGAACCGAGAAAAGTTAGTGCAATGGTCAAATAAAGGGGCTTAGCAAGGTGGCTGAGTCTGATAACAAAGATTAGAGGCGAAGCAAGAAGTTAATTTAACCAACAGAATGTGGACTTGGAAGGCTGAAGAGGAAATACAATTATCGATCTCTCTCTGCACGAAACAATTTTACGCCAACTTCCCCAATGTTGTTATTTAGACCCTCGACATCTGCACTCACTCGCATTTTTTTCGGAGACCCATAGTATCAAATCACTCGATACACACCTCAGACGAGCTAACCACACCTCTTGTCGCATGCACGTTTGATTTCCCACGTACCGGGGCGCACAAACTGGTCCTGCTCATCACCGTATATGACGGGCATACGAGACTCACAGGGGTTTATTTCATAATTGTAAATATTATAAAAATCTTCTTCACTTTTAAATTCTACAGCCGCAAAAAAATGTTCCGAGGTTCAATTTAAGCACAAAACCAGTCTAATTTCGTCGAGTCAATGTCCAATTAATCAGAAGAACTTCTCACAGCACGCGCTCCTCCGCTAGATTATTCCTGATGCGTCTTCTTACCTGCTCAATGCTGATTGCTGTGCCTATACGCACCCTTTTCCGTCTGAAGGCTTTTTCAACGGGCATGACTATGCAAGCGATTGAGAGACTAGCACTTATGTCCCGATCATGCTTGGGCTTTGTATTACAGAGGCATGTTTAAGTTGTGGTCTCGGTTTAGATATTGATGGTACTAGGAAAGCTGGATCCCCAGATATTTCCGGCGCATGGTGAGAATGAGAGCGTTGTGTCGGCAGGTGAGCTTTCCGGGAGAGCGGATGTGGGACGCACATACTCGTATCGGGAGATATGTGAAATCTCCTACTCTGATTTATCCCCACGTCGCCGACTTCAGGACTTCCCGTACAGCTGAACCGCCTTGTCCCTCCCTGGGTCGAATGGCTTGACGGTAGGTCGTTCAGATCGACCTTCGTAGAATATGAGCCGCTGAGACACCTGCGCCAGTCGAGGCATAATGATTGCTACTCCTATCCCATCCTCGAACTAACAGTCCGGACTAACACATCTGGTTGACCCAAGATTATCTCGCCTCTCCCTTAGTCGGATACTGACTGAGAAGGTCAGAGCGCAAGTCCCTGCTTATCTGGGTAATAATATTAGCGAAAGCAACATATTTTTGGTTCCAATACGGAGATGTCAAGGTCTTTCAAATAATTTCATGCCCATTGCTATCGGGCTCGTCCCCAACAGTCTACAAATAAGCTTGTCCCATGCCCAATTTTCTCTTTGATCAGTTCAGTGCCTGACACTTCGAGATGGACACAACGGCATTATGCGCGGTGTTTTGGCCTTGTTTTATCTAAAAAATCGAGACAATGACAATGCTGCGCAGTCCTTTCGCAACTTGAGCATGAGTGGGGCAGGCTAGATCAAATTAATGATCATTAAATTCGTGAGCCTCGTCCTACTTCCAAAATCGCCGACGTGTTGAATCACGCCAAGGCCGACCGTCGAAAGTAGCCGATTTTGAAGTGCCAATTCTCCAGGATCGTCATCTTCCCGTTCTTTACTTCTCCCCCTATTTTCAGTACTAGCATCACCTAATATTATTTGAAGATCGTTTTCTTCATTGCAAGCCTGGTCCATTTTTCTTCTCTATCATTCCTTCATTGCACCTGCCAATCTCTCCATCTTGGATACATGGGAGAAATAAGTAGCCTCGGTCTTTACCAAATACGCTAGTTGGTGAGTCGGCAAAATATCGGGACCATCTCATCGGCGGCGGTTCATGGCAGGAATAGTTAAGGTATTCAAGGCCGTTAGCCTTAGCGTATCTGCATGTTACGCGTCGGGTACAGAGAGTTGCACGCTCTTCATTCTCGATGGCGACTCTGACTTTTGGATTTCTTCATTGGGTGGCGAATCGATGATGGCGGGCGTCACGAACTAGTCGTGGCCGGAAACGATCTCCCAAGGGACACCAGGTTGGTGTCGGTTGTTTCAACACGAACTTGAGAAATCCCTCACCTCAAGTACGAAGCATTTTCAGAGTAAAAATACTTGATTTTTGCACTCGTGCAATCTCTGTCGGCCGAGGTTTCGTGCAGAAAATGTCGGTGCTACATGTTAGTGGCGAAGAGGATTACGGACACCGCACGTAAACAGTATCACAAAGAATTAATATTTTTCTATAGAGAATAACTACAGGAATTCTGTTACATTAAATATGCCCTCTGCAGCTACCAGTGATCTATTTCCCAGCCTCAGCATAATTAAGTGAGCGATTCGAGTCATGAGAAACGACCCCACGTAGAATCACGTGACTAAATCCTTGAACGAGGCTGGGCTATCTTTCAGGCCCAGCCGAAGGGAACGGGGCACAGCCCGTAACACTACACCTGCCAACCACAATGTCAGCAAAACCAGTCGTATCCGCTCTCTTCATCACTGAATGTCTGCTCTGCGTAGTTATTCTCCCCTAAGGTTCATTGATGACACGACTCAAGTATTTAGACTTACTTCGTCTGGTTTGTTCTCGTAATCGTTCGAGCTGACACGCGGCTTGGTTGGCTCGACTGTCCACCATTTCCAAAGCTTTATCCACCCTCATGCCCAGAATCTTGATAGGCTGCGTAGACGATATGTAGCATATTAAGTGCAGTCGCTCAAGTCTCGGAGCAAATGGAGATCTCTCCCTTGCCCCAGCCCATCCCCTATGATCCCCTGAATTAGCGCCCATTATTTCCAAGCACGAATTGGTCGCGTCAACGCTAACTTGGAGATCGTCCGCAAACATTTTTCCTCTCCAGAGCCCAAGGAATGAGTAATTATCGGTAATCTCCAGCTGATGATAGGTTTCGACTCAGTCTGTGCTTTTCGGAAGTCTCCGATCAGTAAGAGATCCTGAGAAACCATTGTCCTTGAATTCTATTTTTGTGATTCATGTAGGTTGGCTTCATCTAGTAGAATATTAACGTTGAAGTCAAAATGACATGACAGGTTGGGGTTAGTATTATTAGCTATCCTCACATATCAACTCGTGCTGACCTAGAATACACTAACCGACTTGCCGATTGGGGCATAGTCTTGTTATGATGGCATCAGCGCTCCAATTTGCTTCGAGTTTAATCATATCCTCCCAAAAAATTAAGCCTGGATTCTCACATATATGTCACATGAGGCTCTTTTGTTCATTAGAAGACGTAAAAAGTAGGAGAATATCACAGAGAGGCAATTCAGACTCTAGATACATGTATTTCAACGTTTTACAACTCCGAGTCGAGGCTCTTGTTAGCAATTTTCCCAACCATCTTCACTTTTTCCCCCAAATTCCTCACACAAGCTAAACAGGGTTGATAAATACTAGAACTAGTAGCTAACTGCCTATCCTGACATACTCCTAATCAATTGAGACGGCTATTAGCTGTATTATCTCCGTATTCTACTTGGATAGCGGTTAGACACAGATAAGCTAGCCCAAGTAGCGTAGGGTCTAGTAGTCTCTAAGCTCGCATCGATAAAATCAGTTTCGAAAGGCACTATGGATGAATTACTATCTCCTAGTTCATGATCAATCATCCTGGGAGAGTTCTGACTTTAAGTCTCGTCTCAGCGAGCGTCATGAGCCCCGCACATTCTGAATCATTAAAGTCCACCTCAAGCTCTCTTTGAGCCATCTTATCATCATTCCTCAGAGATTATGCCATGATTGGCTGTTTGGTAGACTTCCAACTAGCTAGCTGCATCATTGATAATCTTCCGCAACGCCTGGGCCTGTCCAGCTGTTGTGTGCGTTTTCCCTATGTTTAATGCCTGCATGACAAAAAGATTCTCGAGAACGGTGAAATAGCTATGTGCTGGTTATTATTTCCGAATATGGAGGTCTCTCAATGGGTAGCTACGACTCCGTGTATGTCGGCATTGTGTATCTTAGTTCCTGCCATTAGTCTTGAGTTTCGTTGATCATGTTAGGGTGTCCTACTAGTAGAATATGTGACGGAGTTATACGTCAGTTGCAATTCTAGTACGCTTGACCCTTTGATAAAGGGATGGAATTGTCGGAATACACTTCTGCGGCGATGGTTACACTAAAATGTGGTTGTAATGAGAACATGTATTTGATAAATCTAACTGGATTCTCTCCCCTCTTCTTAGTAGATGTTATCTATATGTACAAGAATAAAGAAATTATTAGATAGCGCCCGCGCTATTCCCAAATAAGAAGGAACTTTAAGTCGTCATATGATAAACACAAATACGTTATCAGACAAGACTCTCTTGAGTCGCTAACTGCTTCCGTCCCTCTGTGGCTTTGATGAAAAAGTGAA